TGGGAATGGCTGGGAGAGGCTCATCCAGGGACAGCCCAAGCCAGGAACTCCAAAATCTCCCCAAAGTTCCATGGGAACGACCAGGAGAGGCTCATCCAGAGCCGGGAGCTGGCACCAAATCATCCCAAAATTCCATGGGAACATCTAGGAGGTGCTCATCCAGGGACACCCCAAGCTGGGAACTGGCACCAAATCCCTCCAAAATTCCATGGGAATGGCCTGGAGATGCTCCTCCAGGGACATCCTGAGCTGGGARCTGGCCCCAAATCCTCCCAAAATTCCATGGGAATGGCCTGGACAGTCTCATCCAGGGACAGCCCGAGCYGGGAACTCCAAAATCCCCCCAAAATTCCATGGGAAGGGCTGGGAGAGGCTCATCCAGGGACACCCTGAGCTGGGAACTCCAAAATGCCCCCAAAGTTCCCTCGTGTTGGAGGCGTTTGGGGCTGGTTTTGAGGAGATGGGCGGGTTTGGGGGGGTTGGGGATGTTTTAAGGGGAAAGTGGGACTTTTCCGGGGATAAAATGTGATTTATTTGGGGGGGAAATGTGACTTTCCCCCTTGCCCATCCAGGTGCGATTCCTGGAGCAGCAGAACCGAGTCCTGGAGACCAAGTGGAAGCTGCTGCAGGAGCAGGGGGGGTCTGGCCCGGGGGGCAGGAGCCTGGAGCTCATCTTTGAGGCCTACGTCAGCTCGCTCCGCAGGCAGCTCGACTCCCTCTCCGCGGAGAAGCTCCAGCTGCAGRCMGAGCTCAAGAGCTCCCAGGACRCRGTCGAGGAGTTCAAGACCAAGTAGGTGCTTCGGGGAGTGAAGAAACGGAGAGAAAACCCCAAACAGCCCCAAAACACTGAAATATCGATGATGATAATCGTYGATATTTCATTGATTTTTTTCCCGATGGGTAGAAAATGTCAAAGGTTTTGGGGGTGTCGGGCTCAGGGGATTTTTTTGAGGTGTTTCTCGATATTCCTTGAATTTCCTTGATGTTCCTCAAGTTTTCTCCCTGTTTCTCACATCTCCTCGAATTTTCTCAAGTCTTCTCAAATTTCCTCAAATTTCCTCTATATTTGTCAAATTTCCTCTCTGTTCCCCAAAGTTCCTTGATATTCCTCATATTTTCTCAATATTCCTTACATTTTCTCAGTATTCCTCAAATTTCCTCAAATTTTCTCAATATTCCTCAAATTTTCTCAATATTCTTTAAATTTCCTCAATATTCCTCAAGTTTCCTCAAATTTCCTCAATATTCCTCAAACTTCCTCAATATTCCTCAAATTTCCTTGATATTCNACTTCCTCAATATTCCTCAAATTTCCTTGATATTCCTAATATTTTCTCAATATTCCTCAAGTTTTCTCCATATTTCTCAAATTTCCTCAGATTTCGTCAAATTTCCTCAAATTTCCTTGATATTCCTCATATTTTTTCAATGTTCCTTATATTTTTTCAATATTCCTTACATTTTCTCACTATTCCTCAAATTTTCTCAATATTCTTTAAATTTCCTCAATATTCCTCAAATTTCCTCAATATTCCTCAGATTTCCTCAATATTCCTCAAATTTCCTCAATATTCCTCAATATTTCTTAAATTTCCTCAATATTCCTCACATTTTCTCAATATTCCTCATATTTTCTCACATCTCAATATTCCTCAAATTTCCTCTCTATTCCCCAAATTTCCTTGATATTCCTCATATTTTCTCAATATTCCTTACATTTTCTCAATATTCCTGAATTTTTCTCAATATTCTTTAAATCTCCTCAACATTCCTCAAATTTCCTTGATATTCCTCAACATTCCTCGATATTCCTCATATTTTCTCCATATTCCTCAAATTTCCTCAATATTCCTCAGATTTCCTCGATATTCCTCAAATTTCCTCAAACTTCCTCAATACTCCTCATACTTCCTCCATATTCCTCAATATTTCTCAGATTTCCTCAACATTCCTCAAATTTCCTCGATATTCCCCAAATTTCTTCAATATTCCTCATATTTTCTCAATATTTCTCATATTTTCTCAAATTTCCTCAATATTTCTCAAATTTCCTCAGTATTCCTCAATATTCCTCGATATTCCTCAAATTTCCTCAATATTCTTCAGATTTCCTTGATATTCCCCAAATTTCCTCGATATTCCCCAAATTTCCTCAATATTCCTCATATTTTCTCAAATTTCTTCAATATTTCTCAATATTCCTCAATATTCCCCAAATTTCCTCGATATTCCTCAAATTTCCTCAATATTCCTCAAATTTCTTCAAATTTCCTGAACATTCCTGACATTTCCTCGCTGTTCCTCGAATTTCCTCCGTGCCCTGTTTGGATGCCGAGGGAGGATCCTCCACTCCTCGTCTCCCTCAATTAGGAACCCGTCACATTAACGATTTAACGACTTAATTAGTTGCTAAACCCAGCTCCAATTTCCTCCTGGATTTCCTTCCCATAAAACCCTTCAGCATTCCAAGGTTTCCTTGGGAAGGCTGAGGTGGCGTAAAAAACAGACGGGGAAAATAAAGGGGGTTCTTTTCCTACCATTATTTATTATAACCAATAAGTAAAATATAAATATAAATTACAGCTTGAATATTATGATAATTTTTCTCAATATTCTTTAAATCTCCTCAATATTCCTCAAATTTCCTCAATATTCCTCAAATTTCCTCGATATTCCTCAAATTTTTCTCAAATTTCCTCAATATTCCTCAAATTTCCTCAATATTCCTCGAATTTCCTTGATATTCCTCATATTTTCTCCATATTCCTAATATTTTCTCAATATTCCTCACATTTCCTCAATATTCCTCAATATTCCTCAAATTTCCTCAACATTCCTGACATTTCCTCGACATTCCTGACATTTCCTTGCTATTCCTCTAATTTCCTCCGTGCCCTGTTTGGATGCCGAGGGAGGATCCTCCACTCCTCGTCTCCCTCAATTAGGAACCCGTGACATTAACGATTTAACGACTTAATTAGTTGCTAAACCCAGCTCCAGTTTCCTCCTGGATTTCCTTCCCATAAAACCCTTCAGCATTCCAAGGTTTACTTGGGAAGGTCGAGGTGGCGTAAAAAACAGACAGGGAAAATAAAGGGGGTTCTTTTCCTACCATTATTTATTATAACCAATAAGTAAAATATAAATATAAATTATAGCTTGAATATTATGATAATATTATATATATTATGTTTTTACATTTGAGTATTTATACCTATTATATATAAATACAATTTATACAATTTATTTATATATAAATAATAATTGTATTTATACAATTAATACAATTAATGTAATTTATATATAAATGGTATAAATACAATTTATTATATATATAAGTACAATTTATTATAGTAAATAAGATGATAAAACCGGTTCAGTTGGAAAAGGAAGAACAAATCCCACAGAAAAGAATCCACTCAAGGGATTCCAGAAAAAAAAAAATGGGAAAAGGAGTCTGGGAATCACCGGGATCACCCAGGCCCGGGATCTGCTGGTTGAAAATTGACTTTATTTTCGGGGAGGAGCAGCTGGAAACGGCCCATGGGGGGATTTTTGGGGTTGATAATGATCCCAGTGGATCGCTGGGGGGGAATTCCATGATGCGTGTGCGGAGCTGGAGCCTTGGAAAGGTCCTGGAGCCACCGGGATTCCTCTTCCTGGGCTTTCCCGGGGATCCCGGAGCCRGGGCCTGTCCCGGGGCAGTTCCCAGACCATTCCTGCCGAGCTCCCGAGGATATTCCAGAGGCAAATCC